AAGCATCTAAGGCATCTAAGGGCATGGTAAGGGCTTTCTCTGATATCTATTTTTACCAGCCATCCTACTAAAGCCGTTTTAATGATTAAAGATTCATATTAGAGCCATAGCACACCTAAGAATTCTGTAAACAAGTTATTAACTTCCTGTGGGGATTTATTTAAATGTACGTAATTAACTCTAATAGGTTGGATCTAAAATCAAGAAATACATTGTAAATTAGTAGTTATATTCATCTAACAACTGTTCAAAACAAAAATAATCTTGAAAATGTAAATGGGTATTGCACTGAATTCACTTTGCCTCGGCAACAAGTTTTGGGCCCTATTAAAGTTATAGGTAATCTTATATATCTTAATACAACTAATACGGTATTATTTTACATATAAGAAGCTTAAGCATGACCAGTTTTTACATTGTCATTCTTTTCTACTCTTTGTTGTTAGTTACCATTCTTCAGACGAACTTAAAGCAAAATCATGTTTATAAAAGCCACGGTTAAGCAAGACACATTATTGTAGAACTACGGTTTAGTAGAGGGATCAATATCTACTTTACTCTCTGATAGGTATGTTGATGAATAATTAAATGTTTATACCAGTGTTAAAATAATGTATTCATGCTGATGAATGTTTTACCTGGGGTACCGTTTAACTTATTTACAACATAAACAAAACATGTATACCATTGAAAGACTATAATGGTACATATACCAAAGACATATGGTTACCAATGCATATACTACCTCACTCAAACGAACAACATCAATATCAACTCCATTTCAATTATCCATAAATCCCTTACCTATCTTAACTACTTAATATGTATAAATAAAAACGGGCTTATGAGATATATTTAGGTGATAGCATCAAATTAATTTAGACTGAACTCTTTAACAGATACATACATATCTTCAGAACAATGATTAGTAGGTCTGTGAAAACAAATTACCCGATAATACAGAGTGCATTAGCAGTTATTATCGTTCCATAACTTACTTTGGTGTTTTTACATAGTATTGTATGCTAATACAATTAACTAGAATCCATAGCAAACTCTTCAATGTGCTGCATAGGCCTATTGAGTGTAAAATAAATCCTCACTTCCATCAGTGGTAAAGGAAAGCTCCAGGTTATATTTCGCATTTGACCTACAATATGTTGACGTTTTAGAAGAGAATTGGTAGTCTCTTAACTACACGTCACCCGACCTGTGTGGCTGACAAGCTAATTTCCTCGACTTTTCTTCTTTTTAAAGTGAAAACCACCAGAAAATTGTGCTCTGTATTTTATACCTACAAATCTTTGTTATAAATCAGCTTATAAAATATAACTTATATGACATCTTTATATTGCATTATATTTCCTTTTATAATTCATTTTAATTTCCCGAAGAGGTGTTCTGTATAAATAAAATGTAAAAAGCAAACCAAGGAAGTGATACATCTAAATAGTGGTTTACAATTCAATTTTGTACTATACAAAAATATGTGCAAATAAACAAACATTACGTAGTTAACGGGATATAATTAAAATTAAATCCAGGTTAAAGATATTGAAAATATACGAAAATAACGAACGTGATAAGAGTTATAATTTAGTTATGAACTATTACACACTAATTTTAAATCCTGATGAATATAATATTTATTTTATATTTTTGTTTATCTATTCAAAAACAAGTACGAATGAGTACGGATATAATTAACGGTATAATACGGATATAATAATAATAATAATAATAACGGATATAATACTTTGGTAAAAGCTGTTTTGACAAGCTCTTACGACGCCAAAACATCTAACATGAAGCACTTTGCGGTGTTGTAAACAACGACATAAAACCACTGTAGGGGTAAAGTGTCCATTACCGATCAAACCCCACCTGACCTAAAGTGTTAAGAGTCTTTGTTAAAATTTAAATGTTAAAACCGCTGGGCTATACAGAAGTATCTAAACATATAGTGGAAAGAGATCAAACATGATAAACTACTGGTAATTAGCTTTCTTTTTACAATATGGAATAATATTCTACAATCTATACTTTGTTCACTACTAAAACTGATCATCGCAACGATCTACACTTTGGGATTCTATACTTTGGGCTGAACTCTACATGAACCTTCACGATGCTATTCGAAATCGCGCTGAAACTTATGTTGGTCGGCAGGTCATACTTCCAAAATCATTTAAGGGCAGCAATCGAAATCTACATAGCAACCACTTGGATGCAATGGCAATAGTTCGTCAACAAGGTAAGCCTGATCTGTTTATTACCTTTACTTGCAATTCAAATTTGGAAGAGATTAAATCAAATCTGAAGTACAACGAACCCGCAAACATGAGACCAGATTTAGTAGTAAGAGTATTTCATGAGAATTTTTGGGATCTCATAGAAGAAATAACAGAAGACATAACAGATAAAAAGATTTACGGTACTTTGATTGATAACATTTATACAGCAGTCGTTTTGTCCTATTAGCGTTTGCTAAAGCACAGGGCCAATCACTAACTAAATCTGCAATTTACCTACCTAAGCCTGTATTCACTCACGGCCAACTTTATGTTGCCCTCAGTAGGTTTAGGTCATTTATTGGCACTAAATTTTTCATCAACGAAACTGGTAACCAGAGGTACTTCCAGATGGATGTTTTCTACATCTAAGAGTGGTGTTCGAAGAAGTGGTACTTGACTGGCACCATTTTTGTTCATTTAAGTTTGTATTAGTTTATTCTCCTTTTATTTTTAAAACGATTTTTCGGTGCTTAGAGCCGCAAGGGTGCACTAGTATATTTTTATACGTGATTGATAATATTTATAATATTGCAATTGATAATATAACAGTGTTTCAACCTGGAATTATGAAAAAATATTTTACGAAGGTGTTTTATAAAAAAAATGGTTTGATATAAAGTAGGCTAATTAGGAAGTTTATAAATATATGCTCTTAGGATAAGGACAATTCATTAAAAAGTATCATTCAGATTCAATAGTCTTGTTCCATCCCAAGGTTTTTTTTATTTTATTAATAAATAAGTTTAAGCCTTCTTTATTTTCTACTTCTAGCCATGTAAAAAAATCGATGTAACTTTTTGTATTTATGATTCTACCTAGTAATGTAGATTCAGTCTTTTATGGCCTCAAGTTGTAGTGAGTTTTTATATAACACAATAATTTCAAAGAATGCGTTGAATATACATTTGTTTTTTGTTTAAAATAACAAAAAACATTTTTGGTCCATGCATTTTGAGAAAATCCGTATGTAAATCAATATTTTATCTGGCATAGTTCTATGCCATATTACTTCAATTTAACGGTTCAAAATAAAATTAATGGCGTTATGACCGATTCAAAGACATAAAAGAGGAATTATTTCAGCCTTTTGTTAGGGTCTGCTCGTCGAGAAGAGTTATTGCTTTACCCACCATTTTAATACAATATCCATTGTTATTGATGTTTACACCCTACAGTTGAAATCATCTGGATCCAACTGACTTTGTTTTTATCACAAAGAAATTAAGTAAATGAAGTGAACAGAAAAACGGATAAGACACCTAAGAACACCTGGCCATAGACCTACAGATTATTTTGACGAAACAATGTTGTTGTGTTTTAAAACAATTTAGCCCAGTAAATTTATGATGTCAAGATGAGTACCTTGCAGATGATTAAGCTTCACAGTAATAATTTGTATGGTGGTTTTTGTAACTGTGTAAATATGTGTTAAACGTAATTAGTTAAAATATTAACACAAAGTCCTTGGTCTTTTGGGTACGACCACGTCGAAAAACTAGGAGAAACACTAGTTGCTGACATTTCGGCTTCGTTGCATGTTAAAATATTATTTACTTTACAATAATATTAGTGGTTTATTCAAATATTGTTTTATATATATTCATATTTGTCTAGTAATTGATGCACCTTTCCCCTTTTAACTTAGAAAAATAGACGGGTTTTAACTGTATTTAAAATCACAACCTAGTAAGTTAATACCAAGATTGTTGTTAAATGGTTATTTCATACAAACAAACAAAAAATAGCTATAACTCTCAACGTAAAAATAAACGTTTATACAAGAACCATAATTTTGTTTTTAAATAAATAGTGTATAACATTATTTTAGCATAAAAAAATTGAAAGGAATAAAATGTTGGTATAGAGTGAGGTTGTAAGTGAATATCGTTTATTTGAATATCTCAGTGGAGAAATATTTTCCGATATTTATGTGTTTGGGAGATTTCGTAGTCAATATCAATACTACATACGTCTTTTTAAAGTTTTACTGAAGATATTCAACCCGATTTATTACTTGAGTTATACAAAATTAACAAGGACGCTTTTATTTTTTATTTTTTACTTATTATTTTTATTCTCCAACATTCTTTACTACGACATATTAATATTTTCTTTGTGACAACTTTTAACTTACTATTTACACGTACTTCTGACACAGAAAAAATAATGGTTACATTAGACATTCCTGTAATATGTACACTATTATTCTTTGTCTTAGTAGGCCTATACAAACTAATACGACCTATTACTACTAGTAAAGTTACCTTGTTTGGGGAAAGACTTTGTTGTGTTGACTGGAGTAGGGTCCTTGTGTGGACAAATGCTGAATCCAACTCTGATGCTTTTTTTCTATGCATTTTTAATGAAATTTTCCCGGAGAGAGTTGTTTAGACTAAACAAAACCTATCCAAGAAAGTTGTTTTACCGTCATGGGTGAATCAATCTCTTAAGGAGAAGAAGAAATGGGTACTCTATGCCTATGATGTCTACATAAGTACAAAAACAAAGGAATCTAGGAGTTACTACAATAATCTTAAGAAATGCTATAAGCAAGACTTGATTCAAGCTAAACTTGAATACAATATGCACAAAATTAAGAGTGCGGCAGCGTGGGGTGTTATTAGGTCACAATCAGCTACCCCGAAATTTACAGGCACTCTAGTGGATCCTGATGTGTTCAACTCCCATTTCATTGACTCTGTCCAGGTGGCTAGATAAAGTATTGGAGCCTCTGAAGCATCTCCTCAAGAACTTGTTCACCCTGCACCAACTGCGGCTGGCTGTCTGCGCACATGGAATCTGGTGGACCCGAACCATGTGGCGAAAGTTGTTGGAAATATGAAGAACACCTCGAGCAAGGATATTTACTCTTTATCCAGCTCTTTTGTTAAGTTAATTACTAATTATATATTATTTCCATTAACCTTCTGTATAAACAACTGCTTGATTGAAAGTGTTTTTCCATCTTGTCTGAAGGTAGCAAAGGTTGTACCTATACAATACATAAGGAAGGAAGTAGAGACTCTCCTGAGAACTTCTGGCCCATATCGGTACTTCCTATTTTTTCGAAGATGTTTGAAGCTATTGCTAAAGAACAGTTACATGAGTTTTTTCGTTAGCAACGGTCTGTTTTCTTCCTGACAGTTTGGTTTCAGGAGTGGCCTTGGCACCGTAGATGCAGTCGATAGCGTGGTAAGTGAGGCTCTGGGTGGTTTTGAGTCTGGGGGCCATCTTGTGTGACCTCAGCAAGGCTGTATATTGTGTGATACAGTCGACCACTCGCTCCTTTTGTCTTAACTTGGGCACTATGGTGTTTTGGGTGGCTCCATGGAGTTTTTGCTGTCTTATCTGTGGGAGAGGAGGCAGTCTGTGATTGTGAATGGACTAAGTTCGCAGGAGAGAGTCATCTCCCATGGCGTTCCGCAGAGTTCGGTCCTTGGGCAGGGGCTTTTCCTTTGCCTGTGTTGAACAGGGCTTTGCCTGTTTTTTTGCAAGTAAAAGCAGGGGCTTTTCCTGGTTATGATGAATGATGTCAGTTACAATATCGATGGTGGTGTTGTTTGCTATGCAGATGACACCACCCTCACATGCAAGAGTCAAAATTTTGAGAATCTCAATGACGCCATGAGCAACCATACAAAGTACCGTAGGTATTAGGTCCCTAGATTTGGCCGAAGGCTGGTTCCGGGCCAATTACTTTTTATTAAACAGAGAAAAAACACAAACCGTAGTTTTTACACTAAATTATGTTGCTAAGAACAGCGAACCTGTGAAATTATTAGGAATAACACTTGATAGCAAACTCACTTGGAGTTCTCATATTTCTGGTGTTTGTAGTAACTGATCTAGAATCATGTGTTTTCAAAGAAACCATACTGTATGGACTGCGATTGTGGGGTGGATTTTCTAATGTTAGTAGGGTTCTCTTGTGGCAAAAGAAGGCCCCTACTGGCTGGTGCTGGCTACCTTGCACACAGTAAACCACTGTTTATTAATGAGGCCATCATGACTGTCTATAGCTTATATGTATTTTTGCTTTTACTTTCAGCTAAATAATGCCAAGGTACTTTAGTCAGTAGAAAAGATGTACACTGTCATAATACTAGAAATAAGAACAAATTTGATGTCCCATATGTAAGATTAAAAGTCAGTCAAATGAGGAGGTCACTAAATTATTCAATCACCTGCCAACAGAGGCACGGAACCAGTCTCCAAACAAGTGTGAGAAACCTGTTGCTGGCACACCCATTGTACTCAATCCAGGAGTTTTATAAAATCCCAAGTAATATTGTAAGTAGCTTTTTAAAGACTTGATTGATGTTTGCAGTTTTTTTTTTTTTTTATTATTATTGGGTTTGTAGTTAGCTGCATGGTTTGTTTTTGCATGGTGTGCTTTGTTAGGATGAAACTGTATATTTTCTGTACATTTTCTTTTTCAAAGAGTCAGAATCTTGAGCTACCTGACATTTGAGCAAATGTGAGTATAAACCTATTTTGCTTGCTGTGTTTGCTTGGTTTTTCTTAGGTTAAGTTTTGTATAATGATTGTATATATTAACCTAATTGTATTTTTTGACGATGTCTTTTGCATTTTGTACAGTGCTCATCTCATCTCTCTATCTCATTATAACTAATGCAAACCCTTTAAGTTGCCATCATCATACCACATAATAAAGGAAAATTATCCATTTGAAAATATGAGCTGAATCAACTGTTGATTAATTGAACAACTAATAAATATAGGACAGTTTACTATACCAACAATCTATATGCCCAAATTGAGTGTAGTTTAGTATTTAATGGCCTATAAGACGATCAATTTGAACTACTATGAACTTGGCTATCTTATTTTTGTTTAGCAATGAAATCAAGCTTTTTTACGGTTGTTAAAAGAAAATAAATAGAAGGCCTATTGTTAAAAATACTATCCTCTTATTTTAAACCCATCTGACATTAAATAAAATCAAAGAAATTTGAATCAATTAATTAAATAACTAGTGGCCTGTTGTAGGGGCCTTAGGCCCTAATTTAGACTACAATAAAAAACCATATATAAAAAGACAAATATTCTAAATATGTTTCTAAAATTATCAATTTTATGTTACTTAAAATTAACAGTGTTTCTTGTTTTTATCTTGGTTTTCCTTCCATTGGAGTCGTATATTAGTTGCTTTTAATGTGTCAATGAAATAAACTACAATTGTAAAATAATGATTAAATCAATAACACAACATATAGTGGGGAGGCAAATGTAGTAAAATATGTCAAATAACAAAGTTGGCTCACCCCGAAAGGTAACCGGTGAACACTATGCTAGATGATATTGTATAGTAGTAGGGATGATATTTTGACCGGTGTTCACTCTGTATGAGTGGGACTCTCTTTTCTGGACGCCATTTTCCAAAATGGCGGATGTCAACGTATGATCTTTGAATAACTCGAGCAAAAATGATCCGATTTTGATGAAATTTGGTATAAACGTTTAAACTTACATTTATATGAATGAGTTCGAGAACCAGCATGATCGGACCATGGGAGCGGGGGTTTATGGGGGGTTTTATGGGGTAAAATTGGGATTTTCTAATTTTTTGCCCCCAAAGCACAACATTTTCCAATTTCTCTCTAAACCATTTTAAAGAACTTAAAAAAAAATAAATAATTTAGTATATTAACGTTTTTTGTGCCCTTATTGGTTTCGGAGAAAATTAAAAAAGTGTTATTTAAAATTCCCCTGTTATTTTTATGGAGGATATTGTCAACTCTTGTAGTTTGCTTGTTTATGGATATATTTTGATCAAACTTGGTAAACTTATTTATTTATACTAAACTATTAATATTAATATTCTACTAACATTCACACTTTATTAGCCTCCCTGTGGCAGCAAACCTAGGCACTCGTTAAACCTAATTTTATTTAAATTGAATTAATTTAAATACAAATCAGGCTAATGGAAATTTACTTAGTCTGCAGGTTCGCTGTGACGGGGGTATTTTATCCTTGACATTTCTTCCTAACTCTATTGGTTCAGGAGATATAAGCAGTTAAAGTTGGGGTTTCCTCCATGATAAATACATTGATCCGTTTTAACTGTCACTCTAATGTATTTTCTGTGCTATTCCGTTGCATTTCTTAAGAAGTGCAAAAACTTTTGAATTGGCATATAATAACAAAGCTAGATTATCAGGCACATCTCAGATTCGCACGATGCGTTATAATATTAAAAGTATCGTTTTATTTTAGTTTTTTCTCCATGAATTGTATTTTGGCGGCCATTTTGTGGGATCAAATCAAATTTTAAGTTGCAGATTTCGTTTCCCCACCCTTTTAAACATTAAAAACGGTATACTACACACTATATCTAGCAAAAATGTTTTTAACTATTTTTCTCTGGGAGCGATTATTATTTTAATTTAAATACCATAATATCAGGTACTTTCCCAAGTCAGATTTTGGTAGACTTTTTTTGTTGTTGTGTGGAGGTATAAAAGTAATGAAATCCGTCGAAAAATCTTTTGAAACAATTTTGTTGAACCTCGACTATATATTTCTCTTTAATGGCCGGACTATTACAACTCCACAGACTTTTCATGTCGTAGTTTAAGTTTATCAATATTGCTCTTATTGCAAAAACTGGCATAGCAACTTGTTTTATGCCATTTCGGATCTTTTAGCTCTAGTATTTCTATGTCTGGCTTGAGACGCTTCAATACATCCAAATTATTTACATCACTGTAAGACAAACGTTTATAGTAGCATTCCAACTCGATTTATTCCATCTTTCCCACCATTTGTGAGATTTTCATTAAATACAACAACTTGGTAAAATATGCATAAATCCCAGTTTGTTAGCTTCACTGGCAATCTGGCAAGAGGTATCAATGTCTGATCCATTTAAGAGATGTTTCATGTAATATTTGTTTTGTATAATTATGTATATTGAAATACCACCACTGAAATAATACACTAAACTGAAATACACCAACTGAACAATCAAACTGAATCATTTTTATCACATAATTAAACAGATACAAAAATGAAACAATCATCTTCAATAATCATATGTCAACGGTCAACAGCTGTTAAACATTACCAACTGAAACCCTGTGCCAAGTTGATTTCCCCTACTGATTCTCTTAAAATCAGCTGTCTCAATCTTCAATAATTATACACCAAATAAAAACTTTACTACGATACTTTTAATATTTTAACGCATCGTGCGAATCTGAGATGTGCCTGATAATCTAGCTTTGTTATTATATGCCAAATAAAAGTTTTTGCACTCTTAAGAAATGCAACGGAATAGCACAGAAAATACATTACAGTGACAGTTAAAACGGATCAATGTATTTATCATGGAGGAAACCCCAACTTTAAATATGCTTATATCTCCTGACCCACTAGGGTTAGGAAGAAATGATAAAATACCCCCGCCACAGCGAACCTGCAGACTAAGCAAATTTCCATTTGCCTGATTTTTATTTAAATTAATTCAATTTAAATAAAATTAGGTTTAACGAGTACCTAGGTTTGCTGCTACATGGAGGCTAATAAAGTGTGAATGTTAGTAGAATATTAATATTAATAGTTTAGTATAAATAAATAAGTTTACCAAGTTTGATCAAAATATATCCATAAACAAGCAAACTACAAGAGTTGACAATATCCTCCATAAGAATAACATGGGAATTTTAAATAACACTTTTTTTAATTTTCTCCGTAACCAATAAGGGCACAAAAAACGTTAATATACTAAATTATTTATTTTTTTTAAGTTCTTTAAAATGGTTTAGAGAGAAATTGGAAAATGTTGTGCTTTGGGGGCAAAAAATTAGAAAATCCCAATTTTACCCCATAAAACCCCCCATAAACCCCCGCTCCCATGGTCCGATCATGCTGGTTCTCGAACTCATTCATATAAATGTAAGTTTAAACGTTTATACCAAATTTCATCAAAATCGGATCATTTTTGCTCGAGTTATTCAAAGATCATACGTTGACATCCGCCATTTTGGAAAATGGCGTCCAGAAAAGAGAGTCCCACTCATACAGAGTGAACACCGGTCAAAATATCATCCCTACTACTATACAATATCATCTAGCATAGTGTTCACCGGTTACCTTTCGGGGTGAGCCAACTTTGGAATTTTGGCCATTCGCCTCCCCACTAATATTACAAATGGAAACGTGCAAGTGCACACGGTTAGCCTGAGCCCGGAGACCGACGAATCAGAGCTGAAATC